GAGGCGGCGGTGCTGCGAGATGAGGGCGAGGAAGAGGCCGAGGTGGAGCTGGCGGAGAGCGGACGGCGGCTGCGGCTGCCGCGGGACCAGGTCCAGCGCATGAACCCGCCCAAGTTCAGCAAAGCCGAGGACATGGCCGAGCTGACCTGCCTCAACGAGGCCTCGGTGCTGCACAACCTCCGCGAGCGCTACTACTCCGGCCTCATCTACGTGAGTGCCCCCTGCCGGCGGGGCTTGGCTGGGGCGGGAGCTGGCGGCAGCGCCCTGCCTTGAATGAACGTGGGGCTGGCTGTTCATAATCTTTATCCCATGCCCTGTGACCATGCCCACACTTAGTTGCCTAATTATAAATTATTGGGGTTACCAGGACTGCCTCGGACCCCAGTGGGGGTGCCCCAGGATAGTGTATGGCAGACGTATCTTATTATTTCCCTAAAGTAGAAAGACTGCTGACTTCTCCCCTGGCTGGGCACCCAGCGTGCTCCGAGAAAGGGAAGTGGGTCTGTAATGATAACTAGAACCACTGAGTATGGAAAAGCACTAAGTGCCTGCCATACATGAATTCAGCTCCTCTTCCTCACACGGGTAGAGTCTGTTATTGTCCCCATTTTATCTAAAAGGAAACTGAGGCCCAGAGAAACTTAATACAATATAAGCTAACATACATTTATTTACTTATTTATTTAGGAAGAGAGAGGGAGTGATAGAAATATCAATGATGAGCCCTAGCTGGTTTGGCTCAATGGATAGAGTGTTGGCCTGTGGACTGAAGGGTCCCAGGTTCGATTCCGGCCAAGGGCACATGCCTGGGTTGCAGGCTTGATCCCCAGGAGGGGGCATGCAGGAGACAGCCAATCGATGATTCTCTCTCATCATTGATGTTTCTATCTCTCTCTCCCTCTCCCTTCCTCTCTAACGTCAATAAAATATATTTTTTTTAAAAAAGAAAAGAAAATATCAATGATGAGAGAGAATCGTTGATTGGCTGCCTCCTGCACGCCCACGCCGGGGAATGGAACCAGAATCCCTAGGTTCATGGGTCGACACTCAACCACTAAGCCACACCAACTGGGCATAAACTATCATTTATTAAGCATATATGAGGCTCTCTAAAATATATTATCTCATGGGGGTGGCTGACAAAAAATTAGTGTAGCAGATTGTAATGACATAATACATTACTTTGAGGAGATAAAAACTGATGAACACACACAGCTTACATAAAAACATGCATATTGTCTCAATACGTCTTCACAATTATAAAGCATTTATAGATGAAGAAACTGAGGCACAGAAAGATCAAGTTCCTTGACCAAGGTTACCCAGTTGGACACGGTGGACCTGAGTGGTCCAGTTCTAGGCTCTACCATGTTGCCAGGTTGCCTCTGAGATTGAGACGGGATCAAGGAGCCCTGCCCAAGGTTGCTCAGTGGTTAGAGCCTCACCTGGTGCACCAAAAGGCCCAGGGTTTGATTCCCGGTCAAGGGTGCGTACCTGGGTGGTAGGTTCGATCCCCTGTCCGGGTGTGTGCAAGAAGCAACCGATTGATGTGTCTCTCTCACATCAATGTTTTCTCTCTGTTTATTGATTTCAGAGAGGAAGGGAGAGGGAGAGAGAGTTAGAAACATCAATGAGAGAGAAACATCCATCAGCTGCCTCCTGCACACCTCCTACTGGGGATGTACCCACAACCAAGGTACTTACCCTTGACGAGGAATCGAACCTGGGACCCTTGAGTCCCCCAGCCGATGCTCTATCCACTGAGCCAAACCGGCTAGGGCTAAAAATATATTTTTTAAAAAGATCAATGGAAAAAATATCCTCAGGTGAGGATTAGCAAGCAAACCAACTGAAAGACAGGATTGGCCATAGTGAGGTGGACTGTGGCAGGGCAGTCTCTGTTAACAAAGCATTTCATGTCTCACGTTATGTAATCTTCACAGCAAACAAACGTACGAGGGCAGCGGTCCCTAACCCTGCCTTCACATTAGGATCACCTGGGGAATTTTTTTATTTTTTTAAATACCCACACCCAAGTCCCACTCCAACCCATTACACCCAGGCTCTCCGGGGGGTGTGGCGAGGTATTTGGCATTTTTAATAAGCTTCCAGGGCGGTTTTAAAGGGCAGCCAGAGCGTTGTTCAGAGCAAACAGGATTAGAGAGACTGACAAGGAATGTCGAGAATAATAGTGAAGAATAATCATGGTGGGTGGCTAGCAAATATTGACCGAGCACTTACGCTGTGCGGAGGACTGTTCCGAGTGCTGTATGGGGGTTATCAGCTCGCCTCTGTCGCCTGATGTTCAGGAATGTTGAGTGTCTCGGGTCCCGGGTCACACAGACATGATGGAGTCCTGCCAGGATTTGAACCCGGACAGCTGGCCCTGGAGTTAATTCTCCAAACACCAGCTTGGAGGGCTGGGGTCTCACTGCCTTGCTCATTTAAAGTGGCCACACCGGCCGAAACCTGTTTGGCTCAGTGGATAGAGCGTCGGCCTGCGGACTGAAAGGTCCCAGGTTCGATTCCGGTCAAGGGGCATGTACCTGGGTTGCGGGCACATCCCCAGTAGGAGATGTGCAGGAGGCCGCTGCTCGATGTTTCTCTCTCATCGATGTTTCTAACTCTCTATCTCTCTCCCTTCCTCTCTGTAAAAAATCAATAAAATATATTAAAAAAAATAATAAAGTGGCCACACCGAAGAAATCATCAAAATGCCTAGCTAAGCCCTAGCCCAGTGGTTCTCAACCTGTGGGTCGAGACCCCTTTGGCAGTCGAACGACCCCTTCACAGGGGTCGCCTAAGACCATCCTGCATATCAGATATTTACATGACGATTTCTAAGAGTAGCAACATGACAGTTATGAAGTAGCAATGAAAATAATTTTATGGTTGGGTCACAACATGAGGAACTGTATTTAAAGGGCCAGAAGGTTGAGCACCACTGCCCTAGCCAGTTTGGCTCAGTGGATAGAGCGTCAGCCTGCAGACTCAAGGGTCCCAGGTTCGATTCTGGTCAGGGGCATATGCCCGGGTCACGAGCTCGGTCCCCAGTGAGGGGGGGGAGGGGGCAGTGCAGGAGGCAGCCGATCAATGATTCCCTTTCATCATTGATGTTTCTATCTCTCTCGTCCCTCTCTTCCTCTCTGAAATCAATAAAAATATATTTTTAAAAAATGCCTAGCTAAAAGCCTAAAAGGCAAAGTGCTGGTGTTATATTTTAAAAAAGCTACAAAAACCCAATGAGAATAATCCATTTTTTTCAATAAATGATGTGATATATAAAAATATGAAAATGAATAAACTGGCTCCAATATCCACCCTATTAAGGGTCACAAAGCACAAGATTCGATTTTTTAAAATTAGATACATTTTTATCGATTTCAGAGAGGAAGGGAGAAGGAGAGAGAGACAGAATCATTGATCACCTGCCTCCTGCAAACCCCCCTACTAGGGATTGAGCCCACAACCTGGGCATGTGCCCTGACCGGGAATTGAACCGTGATCTCTTGGTTCATAGGTAGAACCTCAACCACTAAGCCACACTGGCCGGGCTTTGTGTGTTTTTAATTTGGGGGGTGGAGGCTG